TAATTAAAAAAATTGTCTGGATGTAAATGATTTTCGTTTACACAGAGGATTAATATCCTTTCTAGGTAAAGTTATTTACACTGAGAAAAAAATGGTTTATTTGACTAAATTAATTGATTCCTGCAGCTGAAGTAATATTTTTCGCAATAAATTAAATTATTTGTAGTTCTTAAGGATATTTAAATCAAATTATTAATATTTTTCTAAGATGCTTATTAGTATAAAAAATTATTAAATTACTTGTCAATTTAATGTGATATTACTACTCTAGTTCTGTTCATGATTGCGTTTCAAGACCGAAAGATTTCGCGGTTTGCAGAATTGGAAATGTATAATAAATTCACTCTGAAATATTTAAGATTCCGTTTTAGCCGAAGATAATTTATTTCTATTAATTGATTTAATATAATTTACTATTATTTCTTTTGATAAAAATTATATGTACATATGTATTTAAATCTACTTACTATATTTGATTTAGATACATATGTTCTTCAATGAAGGATAGAAAGAACTAAATTAATTTAGTCAAATGAATAACTTTTTTTCAGTATAAGAACATACAGACAATCGAAATAAAATGTATAAAGAAAAATAACGTAGAATAAGACAAATAATATAAGACAAGAGAAATCCCATTTTCGGCTAAAGCTCAGTTAATAATATTAGCTTAATAATTCATATGTAAATCTGCAAATGTTTCCTTCTATAAAAGGCGCGCCGATTCGATTTGTTAGACTTAAAACTCAATTACAAATTAAAGCTGGAAATAACATCATAAATCATATTGATCGTCAATTTCATAACAATGGTAATAAACCTCTTAAAACATTGTAAAAAAATTTATTGCGATAAATATCCCACATTTCACAATCAACCAGGGTTTGAATCTAGAACTCTTGACTTTCCGGGATGGATGTTTTATCATATACAAAATAATACATATAAAATTATAAATACAAAAAATAAAATTCTTTTGATTTATTTTTTTATATTAGTCGAATTTCTACAAATAAAAATAATGTAAATAATTCATAAATTATAAATTAAAAAAAAACAAAGAAAATAAATAAAAATAAAATAAAATAAAGCGACAATAAAAGATATAAAATACAAACAGAAAAAAATAGCTTAATCGAAAGAAAAATAGTTAATATAGTAAGAAATCAACCAAACGTACATATGAGCAGCCGAATGGAAAGATGCAAGGAAGAGGAAAAGAGTCATTTCGAAATATCGTGCAGCTCATAAATTATGTTGTTTAAGACTTGTACATAAAATTTTGCGGTGCGTTGCATTAAATTGCCATTAAGTTTAAGGGGTCACTGGATATAGTAGTTGTCAACGACGACCTTTAACTTCAGGCCAGGTGAAAGCATGCGTGTCCTCGATTCTCGCACTAGTTACACCGGACGACTTGTAATAATGTAAAAAAAAAGGGCCCGCACTTTAATTCCGCTGTGGAAAACTCGAGTTATCTCAAGAAAGCATGCCACGTGGCGTGCCGCCGTATCAGAAATTTATCGTAGCGTATAGCTAACCGCGTGAATGTATTTTCCGTACAGAATGCGTTACGCGTCCTGATTACCTGATTTCAAATTATATTAAATTTCTCGAGCGATCTTGTATGTTCCGGTTGGATGAGAACCATGAGAAGCGATGCACACCGTGCCGAATATGGTCACACCAGCTATTTACAATTAAAATAACTAAGATTTGCTATCGATTGATAGAATACACGAATAAGAACAGAAACAGGATCCAAAATATTTAACATAGTCGATTATTCACTTGCGCAGTCGGACATATTACGAAAACAAATGCTCCCGTTACGAAATGGCATGTTTGACAAATTCGTTAATTTCTTGTTTAACGTTCTTGTTTGAATCATTGCTAATTGCCACCGGAGTCCGGTTGCGTTTGTGGCACTTTTATTACTCATTAGCATCATTAGTATAAATCACGCCGGCACACGTACAGTTGCCTGTAATTAATAAAACGGAATTGCACTTAACACGATCATGTGCGCCGTTTGTATGAAAAATTCATGCAATAATTGCATGATTTAGTTTTCATCCGATATTGATTTGTTTGGTTTGAAGAGTGTTTTTACGTTAAATATATATACAAACACTGTTTCTTACATCTGACTCTCACTCGTATATCTTCTTCTGAGTCTAATTGCACGTTTCGATAAATTATATAGGAGCATATAATTGTATAACAAAATATTAGTTACACACACAAGATTATCAATATATAATTATTGGGAAGAATATTGAAATATTAATATGCACGTTTAATTTACTTTACAACCCATTTCATGAAAATAACCGGCACTCGCGAAAATTAGAAGAAATATCGAGCAAATTTGCACATTGGTAGCAATTTACCTCTTCGAACAATATACAAATGACAGAGCATAGGCACGAGAAAAGATGGGAGCATTGTCGAGCACCCGAAAGTTTCGAATGACGCACTGCACTTGGGAGCCTTTTACTGTATCGTCTTACGCCAGATTCGAGAGGAAACTGGCAGGAATCGGCAGTAGCTGATGATTTTGTAGTTGCTCTCATACCTTTATCTCGTGAGGATAATGATCTACTTTTCTTCATTTTTAATGCTAACCGGTAACAGTAACATGTTATGCTAGACAAAAATTGATGCGATATTATGAAGTTGTTTTAATTATATATTGCGCTTCCGGTATTTGTGAAACTTTTCACGTCGTTAAATCGGGAACAAAAGAACTTTTTATTTGTGCGAAAATAATGTTCTTATTTCTAGAAGAGAGAGCAAAAGATTTTTTATCGTGCAACACTTTTTTCTACACTTGAGAGAAAAGTGTAGTATATGTGATTATAATTACACGATAAAATAATTATATGATTAAAAACTCTGTTTCTATACTTATTATCTTAATATTAGTCATAATAATTAGTAATAATAATTATATTTTATTTAAAAAATATATAGGGTATCCCATAAAGATTTAACAATGCTTAAGTATAAATTTCTGAGATCGTTTTAAGATGAAAATTCTAATACCAGAATGTCGAGCAGAAATAATAATTTTTTAATTATAAACATTTAAAATCAGTGAATCCTACCTCTTAACTTTGTGCGTTCTGCAGATGTCGTACGACGCAAAATACTACAACGAAAGCAAGGATTTGTATAGTTAGGTCTGAAATAATTATAATTTATAATTAAATTATAATAATTTTTATCTCTAATGAGAGAAATACCAGAAGTGTTCATCGAGTTTTTCGATGCCAATTTTTTTAGTGATTCTTGTAGCCAAATATACGTGACACGATCGTCGCGGCATTTATCAACATACGATTTTATTCTCGTTATTCAAGTTAAATATTTTTAAAAATCCGTAAAATTTAACGATCGCTTCGGCGAATCGGTTTCGCATTCGAGGTTTAGTAACTTTTTTTCTCTTTTTTAAAATGTATTTGATGCGTTTATTATTTCTTACAAACAATAAGAATACCTATGAATATTACAACATATAAATTTTTGCAACAATAAATTGCTATTTTTTGGACAAGAGACTATTAACAATAAGAGACAATTAATATAGAATACACACATTGGGATAAGAACAACCTGCTCATATCTTTTTTTTAATACTATAAATATCACATAAACACAATAATCTCTGTCCTCTTCCTTAAAAAAATCAGACTCTTAGTGATAGTCTTACAATAGTTGGCAGACACTTTCATTGTCGGGTCGCGTTTATTCTTCAAGCTGTCAAGGAAACGTTTAGAAAATATCTTTTTTGCAATAAATAGAACGTTTCGAAATTCCGTTGTCTCGGAACGCACGTGTCATTAATACCTAGTTTTTGTGTGCAAAACAAATTTTTTAATCATTCAGAAACATTTTTAAAGAAAAAGAAAAGTTACCAAACCTCGAACTCGATTTGCAGGAGCGATTGTTCAATTTTTTGAATTTTAGGAAATTTATAACTGGAAAAAAGCTGTATATTGACGTCGTGACACGTATATTTTTTTGGCCTTAGGGTCATAAAAAAAATTGGCATCGAAAAACTCTATAAATACTTCTACAGCTTCCATTGTCAGTAAATTGGACGTTTCTTTCTTAAACAAAATTAAATTAAATTTGTTCATATAATATTATTATAAAAGAAATTATTTTTCTTTTTCAGGACAAATTGCTCACAAAACTAGAAGAAAACGAACCAGAGTTGGCTTCTTCACAGGAAGATGAGGTAAGAAACGAATCGAAAGTGATAGCACTAATAAGAACGCATATTTTCTTAAAGCGATATTTGCAAGCGTTATAAGTTGTCTAATTGACTATTCTTGAATAGTGAAGTTTCCCTTTCTCGTAATCACTTCTCGATTTATCACGGATAAAGAAACTAACTCTTTCCATCTCAATTGGCATCGATTAATACAATCGCTATTTCTTCCTGTTAATCCTACACTTTGAGATTCTCTAAGATTGATTATGTATGTTTTTGTCTTCTCCACTAATCTAATATATATTTTTATCGATATTATTATGAAATTCATTTTTATATCTAAATATAGAAACAAAGCATATTTTTTTAAAGATTACATCAAAGTCTTCGTGCCTACATAAATTGAAGTTAGTCGGTAAAAACAGTTTAATGGAAATTACATTTGCACATGTGTGTAGATTAATTTATATCTTCATTAAATTGAAGTCATTCCTTTAATTGAAACTTTTATAATAATTCATTTGGAAAATACCACATAAGCAGCTAAATGCAAAGTATATTATAAAAATGTGCGCTTATATATATATAAAATATACATAAAATGTATTATACATTTCATAAAATTTACAAGATCTTTAAAAAATGAACGCACATTTTATAAATTACAGTCTATATTAATATAAACAATATAATTCTGTAGAATACTAAAGATGTTGTATCTATCTTCTCGGTTCGTTGCGTAGTGTTACGCTAGATTGGACCATTAGGCTACACGATGAAGAAAATAACAGAGTATCTGTATCGTGCAAAATATAGCCGGCCGTCCGGAAAAGTCGCAATTTCCGAACGAATTGGTCGCCCAGTCGGTCGCAAAAGTCGATTAACGACGATGACAAAGTGGCGGTTGCAACCCTTCGATTTCTAACATGTTCGCCCACTCTCTTGACTCGAGTTATTAATATTTCGATTAAAGTGACGCCTAATTACGTTAAGTCGATTATGGCAGCCTGTCGCGGCAGCCATCCCAATTGCTAAACAACAACGTGTTATATCGTCCTGGGATTTAATGACATTACACGTGTAAGCGCGTAAAAACTATGTAAATAAAATAAAAGTCTTCGTGATGAACATGAAAGTGGCTGTACGATCTTTTCTTTTTGCTCTTCCGCGATTTTTTCCCAATAGCCAATATTAACGTATATGTGATTACTAATAAAGATTACCAATAAAGATTACCGTTCGACATATTCGCATACGTTCAATCAATGTGCCTCTTTATTTTTTTTTTCCAGTGCGTCATATGCGTGAATGCGAGGGCGACGATGCAGACCGCGCCATGTGGGCATCGAGTGGTTTGCAGGTGAGTGAATGAACTTAATGTGCGTAGATTTGCACGTCACTAAGTATATTTTAAATGAATTATTAATTTTTCAGTAATCTTATAAGTTAGGTCTTGTTAAAATTGCGATATTAGGAGGCAGGTTAGGTAATGCTAAGTTAAAAAGATAAAAATTAAGTTAAAAAGTTAAAAAATTATTATAATTAATTTTAACTTAACTTAGTTACATTTTAGACTTTTAATTTTTTTACTTTATTTAGATTACATTTCTTTATTTTAATTACATTTTATCCGTAACTATTATTATTTTTATTTTATTTTTTTTTAAGTTAAGTATGATTTTCACCTCATTTTGAATTACACAATGGAGCCCCAGATTTCAATTTGTCCGAAACGTGTATTTCGATGTATCTAGTTCCTGATAGGTTGAAATCTATATCATTCCTTATTATTAAAATATAACACATAAACACAAATATATACCATCTTCGGCTCATGTTGAACGGCTGTTCAGTGCAGGAGGACTCATTTTCGATAATTTGAGGAAAGATGTCCGACATTTCGAAATGACTTTATTACTTAAATTTAATAAGTATATATGAACAAAATATTCAATCAGTATATATAACAGTTTATGTAAACAGTTGATATAAACAAAACTATGTAAATAAAATATGGAGTATTTTCTAAATGAAGTATATATTTGTCATTTCCGTTATTTGTAAGACTGAAACTCTGAAATCTTGAAATATAAAAATAAAAAAAAATAAATTTAACTTTTAACTTTTCAATTACTTTTTTTTATTAACTTACCTTTTAATTCAATTAATTTCATTATAAATTAACTTGTATCTTAACTAAGTTAAATTTTCAAGGTTGTTAACTGTAACTTAACTTAATTAAAAAAAAAAGTTAACTTAAAAAAAATTAACTCAATCCTGTTAGGA